TAAGTAGTTACAGTAGGGTAAGTAGTTACATTAACATTAGTAGTTACAGTAACACAAGTATTTGCAGTAACATTAGTTATAGCAGCATAAGTAGTTACAGAAATAGCTGTAACCCAGGCTTTCAGTCCACTGTCATCACTGCTGTAACCCAGGCTTTCAGTCCACTGTCATCACTGCTGTAACCCAGGCTTTCAGTCCACTGTCATCACTGCTGTAACCCAGACTTTCAGTCCACGGTCATCACTGCTGTAACCCAGGCTTTCAGTCCACTGTCAGCACTGCTGTAACCCAGGCTTTCAGTCCACTGTCATCACTGCTTTAGCCCAGACTTTCAGTCCACTGTTATCACTGCTGTAATCCAGGCTTTCAGTCCACTGTCATCACTGCTGTAACCCAGACTTTCAGTCCACTGTCATCACTGCTGTAACCCAGGCTATCAGTCCACTGTCAGCACTGCTGTAACCCAGGCTTTCAGTCCACTGTCATCACTCCTGTAACCCAGACTTTCAGTCCACTGTCATCACTGCTGTAACCCAGGCTTTCAGTCCACTGTCATCACTGCTGTAACCCAGACTTTCAGTCCACTGTCATCACTGCTGTAACCCAGACTTTCAGTCCACTGTCATCACTACTGTAACCCAGGCTTTCAGTCCACTGTCATCACTGCTGTAACCCAGACTTTCAGTCCACTGTCATCACTACTGTAACCCAGGCTTTCAGTCCACTGTCATCACTGCTGTAACCCAGATTTTCAGTCCACTGTCATCACTGCTGTAACCCAGACTTTCATTCCACTGTTATCACTACTGTAACCCAGGCTTTCAGTCCACTGTCATCACTCCTGTAACCCAGACTTTCAGTCCACTGTCATCACTGCTGTAACCCAGGCTTTCAGTCCACTGTCATCACTGCTGTAACCCAGACTTTCAGTCCACTGTCATCACTGCTGTAACCCAGACTTTCAGTCCACTGTCATCACTACTGTAACCCAGGCTTTCAGTCCACTGTCATCACTGCTGTAACCCAGGCTTTCAGTCCACTGTCATCACTGCTGTAACCCAGACTTTCATTCCACTGTCATCACTACTGTAACCCAGGCTTTCAGTCCACTGTCATCACTGCTGTAACCCAGATTTTCAGTCCACTGTCATCACTGCTGTAACCCAGACTTTCATTCCACTGTTATCACTACTGTAACCCAGGCTTTCACTCCACTGTCATCACTGCTGTAACCCAGACTTTCATTCCATTGTCATCACTACTGTAACCCAAGCTTTCAGTCCACTGTCATCACTGCTGTAACCTAGACTTTCAGTCCACTGTCATCATTGCTGTAACCCAGGCTATCAGTCCAACGTCATCACTGCTGTAACCCAGACTTTCAGTCCACTGTCATCACTGCTGTAACCCAGGCTTTCAGTCCACTGTCATCACTGCTGTAACCCAGGTTCAGTCCACTGTCATCACTGCTGTAACCCAGGTTCAGTCCACTGTCATCACTGCTGTAACACAGACTTTCGGTCCACTGTCATCACTGCTCTAACCCAGGCTTTCAGTCCAATGTCATCACTGCAGTAACCCAGGTTCAGTCCACTCTCATCACTGCTGAAACCCAGACTTTCAGTCCACTGCCATCATTGCTGTAACCCAGGCTTTCAGTTCACTGTCATCACCGATGTAACCCAGGCTTTCAGTCCACTATCATCACTGCTGTAACCCAGGCTTTCAGTCCACTGTCATCACTGCTATAACCCAGACTTTCAGTCCACTGTCATCACTGCTGTAACCCAGACTTTCAGTCCACTGTCCTCACTGCTGTAACCCAGGTTCAGTCCACTGTCATCACTGCTGTAACCCAGACTTTCAGTCCACTGTCCTCACTGCTGTAACCCAGGTTCAGTCCACTGTCATCACTGCTGTAACCCAGACTTTCAGTCCACTGTCATAACTGCTGTAACCCATACTATCAGTCCACTGTCATCACTGCTGTAACCCAGGTTCAGTCCACTCTCATTACTGTTGTAACTCAGGCTTTCAATCCACTGTCATCACCACTGTAACCCAGACTTTCAGTCCACTGTCATCACTGCTGTAACCCAGGCCTTCAGTCCACTGTCATCATTGCTGTAACCCAGATTCAGTCCACTGTCATCACTGCTGTAACCCAGGCTTTCAGTCCACTGTCATCACTGCTGTAACCCAAACTTTCAGTCCACTGTCATCACTGCTGTAACCCAGACTATCAGTCCACTGTCATCACTGTTGTAACCCAGACTTTCAGTCCACTGTCATCACTGCTGTAACCCAGACTTTCAGTCCACTGTTATCACTACTGTAACCCAGACTTTCAGTCCACTGTCATCACTGCTGTAACCCAGACTTTCAGTCCACTTTCATCACTGCTGTAACCCAGACTTTCAGTCTACTGTCATCACTGCTGTAACCCAGAGTTGACGGCAGCAGTAGCCAGAGTTGATGGCAGCAGTAGCCAGAGTTGATGGCAGCAGTAGCCGGAGTTGATGGCAGCAGTAGCCAGAGTTGATGGCAGCAGTAGCCAGAGTTGATGGCAGCAGTAACCAGAGTTGATGGCAGCAGTAGCCAGAGTTGATGGCAGCAGTAGCCAGAGTTGATGGCAGCAGTAGCCAGAGTTGATGGCAACA